CCGATACTGATTTTACTGTACATAAGAGGAGGAAGGTTTGTACGTCGCTAAGGTCTCATTTGGCTTCCGGGGTTTGGAATTTGAGCCGGGAGCAAGGGAATAAGTTACTGGCAAGCAGATTTAAGGGAGATTGCTTGTACATTTGCGATTGGCCTGGTTGTTGTCACATTGAGGAGAAGCGGAATTATATGTTGTTTAGGGGAATTTTTAAGAATTTCAAGCAGTCGAGGGTTTGGAGGACTATTAAAGATGGAAATAGAAATAAGATCGATCAGAATTGTGCCTTTTGCACCTCCAAAGAAACCTGGGACCTGCATTCTTCCTTTTGTTTAAGAAGGTATTTCGGGTACCATGACGACGGAGAACCAGTGGTTCGTGCTTATGTTTGCGAGAATGGACATGTGTCGGGGGCATGGACAGATTGGCCTTTGTACACATGAGATTTTTGTCTCATTTATGGTACTTTGATTTGGGAGATTATGTTCTAGTTTATTTACCATCTTCTTGACATGGTAGATCGTATCAATATCGTATCGTTTTAGTTAACTGCATTCGAATTACTAAATATCTTGGATTGATTGATGATGTACTTAAAAGTTTTTGCTGTATTTTCAAATTGGTAATGACTATTAACTTGTGCATGGTGCCATGGATTTGGTTTATCTGTATGATTATACCCCATTTTCCTTTGCGAGAACATAAATTGGAATTGAGTTTCCTTGAATTGTTTTTTCCTTGTGTCTTGCTAGAACATTTAATTGGTTATCAGTAGTTGAAGCATTTAGCAAACAGTCGATCATTTTGATCTTGGGCCTTCATGAATCACTTTCCCACGTTTATGTTATCCTGCCAATTTGAATACCTTTGGAATGTGGTCCAAAGGAACTTCCATGAATGTGATCTAGACAAAATTAATGTTGTCAAACGCGTGTAATTACACTACACTAGGCTTTACCTTTCTATGCAGTTAACTGGTCTTCTGATTGAGGGAGCGCAGTGGATGGAACTTAAATCAGTCCCTACCCACATTATTTTTTCATTCTCATTCTTCTACTCATTTTCAACCACACATTCTTTTATAAAATAATATTTTTTTATCATATCAATAAATTTTCCTTCTTTTTCAACCACATATTCCCCATCATATTAACAGTAAAAATGCATTCTTTTTTAAAAAATATGTACCAAACGAGGGCTTAATTGATAATTTCCATGTTATTTTCATGTAAATTTCATGTTTGCAATCAAACACATCCTAAGTGACAAACGTGCATGTCATCACCATGTTAGTCTTGAGGACAATCACCTTTCGCAAAGAGTTCATGTAGTACTCTTCGAATTCGGGCTGATTGCACTTCACGATACCAATCTGTTGACCTCCGAATCTATTTAGACATCAACAAATCCCAACTTATTTCTCATTTATGCGTAGATTACATGCACACTTGGATACACATGTTTGATGTACAATCCATCGCTCCATTAGGGAAGATGCAACAATCGTATGCACTCCAATGTCTTGATCAAATTACAAACAATATTTGGGTGAGAAAAAAAAAACACGAAGGATGAAGTCGGATATAAATTATACCATAAAGATTACCTTTTAAATGACACGTGTTGAGTATTTATAGGATAGGGCATTGTATTTGTTGACAAGGCCTTTGCGTGTTTGACACATCGGTTCATCTCAACGATTCATATATAAAGCTCAATGACTTTAGAATCATGCTACATGTACAAACTAGGTTGACAAATTTGATTTGCAAACTATGTGTTGACAATATCTAGACCAATCATTTGAAAAATAGTTTTTGAAATCAATGAAAATAATAATTTAAATCTTGCCAACACTTAAGTTGTAAACAAAGTCTGTACAACTAGATTAATTCATAAATTTACTTTCTATGCAAGGTCTATTGACCTTCCACTCATTGTCCTAGGCAGATCAACAAGAATGTGACTGCAAGTTGCTTTTGCAAAAATGTCACATCAATTATTTCGCCCGTTGTTCAAGATATTAAAACTTAAGGCAGCAAGATTTGGACCTAACGAACCCTACTTCACGCACAGGTCCCTTACAGGTCACTCACATAGGTAGAGCCCGCGCATAATTTTATTTTTAATACATGGTGGGGCCCACCATGTGAGTGCCTTGGTGAGCCCCTGTGAATTATTCCCTGTATGCATGAGTTTAGGTCACTTATCGACGTCTCAGAGAGATGACGTGACATAACTGCTGGGGGTTGCAGAGCCTCGAAGAAGCATATAGCAATGCATTTTTGGGCTATGCTCCTAACGCCTCGGACAATAGGACTGAGGCGATGGGAGGAGGACAATCAGAACAGAAAGGTATAAAAATATTTTAAGCTAGCTTCATTTTGACCAGAAACTAGGTCAGCCCTCGAATCTTTATAATAATTTATGTTCCTGAAAATCACCCAAATGTACAAATTTCACTAGAATATAGCTCTTTTTGAGTGCACAAATATAACAATGCATTCTGCAACTGTGATGATGTCCTCAAGCAGGACGAAGATGACAATAAGAGTCTAGTCCGTGCCTCTCATTGGGACCATCATATGCTGAGCTTGTGACTGGACATCAAACCGGAAAATAAAATGAAATTAGTCAAGAATCAGATCCAACCACTATACGGATAAGAGATTCAAGTAACCTGCAGAGAATTAAACTAACTTCGTTCATACACAGAGATGAAGGCGATAAGTTGATAAACAGCAATTGCACAGCAACAATTAGATACTTGGAATCAAAAAGTACATTCAATGAGCACATTTTGCAATTATGGTGAATAATAAACCAGAATCAAAGTACTGCAACACAGCTCCAACTCTAAATCACAAATTATAGAAAAGTTAGTCACTTAATTAGAGCGTAGCGTTTAGCAATACTGAGCATCCCAACATACCACACACCGTACATGCCGCTGCATGTTCAAGTAGCATATAGTTCAAAAATAACACAGGCACAAACCTCATGTAAACTTCCAGTGTGTTCTCAATCTAGGTAGCATGTATTATGAACTAGAGTATCACATAGGAAAAATATATTTTACACCTGTTCGTTTCAATTGAAGTCCAGGTGAAGAACTGGAAAGAATCTTACAGAATGCAGACTCGACAAGGAAAAAAACATCCCCGTCAAAGCGTAACAGAGTTTATGTTTGCAAATATTCCCCATCACTGCTCTTATCAGTTGTTTCTATTCTTCTAATTATTGTCTCACTATTCGAGGATATGTACTGGAAATTGACAGGCATGACATTCTGAAACTCGGTTTTATCAAATTGACTTGTGCCAGAATTCAAAAATTCATGGTGAAGTTCATTAAATCCTCTCGAACTTCTTCATGTTGAAATCAACACTAATTCTAGAAATCGACACTCAAACAGCTTTCCCAACTGAAGGACATATCAAGTCACTTGTCCGAATGACGGTGCTCATCCTATCGAACCACAATCTAGCGACAGCATTGTCAACAACCATTTGAAGGAGAAGTTAACAGAGGTTATTTAGTTGCACGATATTTAGGATTGGTAACAATGACTTAAAGCATAATCTTTGTACATCCATTTCCCTATCAAGATACAATAGCAACAGTTTAGAAAACGTTGCCATCATCTCTCTCGTCCAAGAAGATGAAGACAGCAAACCAGCTAATTACTATAAAATGGGGAACAGTTTAATCATTGTTTTTGAAGAAGAATGCTCAGTAGGAGACAAAAGATCTGTGACCATAATCAAGGACGTGTTTTTTGCTTGATACACATGGAGTTGAACAGACAGAGAATTGGACATGATCTCATAAGGTAAAAGTTTATTCATAGCACATAAGAGTTAGAAAGGTATAAGAGACACATACAGTATACATATTATGACTGTTTGATAGTGTAAACAAGCCCAGTTATGTGGGAACATAGAGTGGCATACAGAGACGTAGATGGTGGGTACCTGAGAGTTTCCATAATTAATGACTTGTGAAAATGAACCCTGGTGAGCAAGCTGTGCACATACAGGGATAGTAATTGCAATAAATTTCTGTACAAATAGCCTAAATAAAAATCTTGGATAGGCACCCAAGAGAATGTGTGACAGGATACCTGTGAACTAGTACTAGATTGTACTGCATCATTTCTTGAAGATCCATCTGCACCTTTTGTCGATGCCTTGGTGTCACCCTGTAGAAAAATCCGAGTCAAAATATCAAGCTATCAAATGAAATAAACCAATATAAAAATCGCTGAATGATGAAGCAATTTACATTCACTCACCTCCATCTGTCGTGCCACGAGAAATCAAAAACACCGAAACCAAAAACAAAATCCATCAGTTGCAGTACTTAGCAATATCTAAGGAAAACTAAGCAGTATACTTTAGACCACAAGCAGGACTTCGTTTAAAAAATATACATAGGAAGCACTTACCTCTCTGTACCTAGCCAGGTACACCTTAAGTGGATCAACGTAATCTTCAAACCCTAAAGTCACCATAGCCCATAACAAGTCGTCCCCATTAATTGTCTTTCTTTTCTCTCTCTGGCACTTATCACTTGCCCTTGACATTTAAACAACCAAGACAGTTTCAATTACTTACACATCTACAATTATATAATGCTTCCGAAACGGATATGAAATTTCAATTTGCAATTGAATTCATTGCACATAAAATCAAATTACTGCAAATTGACTCATAAAAAAACAACAAAACCCATAGATGCATACTTGTACACACTTATACAAATACACGGTTTCGTGCCCATATGAAACATGTACAAATTCCAAGAAAAATGCCCAAGTGTGCGTGTGTAGTTTGCGAAATTGAAATTTTATAATTTCCTGCAACAAGTTACAAGTAATTCCATTAATTGCACACAAATGTATATATAAAATAAATCAAACAACATATAAAAGACGGAATGATAAGTTTAAACTCCTTTCGGATTTCTATGCAAACATGGAAGTAAATAAAAAAAGGCCAGACAATACTTTTTACTCCAATCGTGAATCATCGATGCTCTTCTTCGTTCGATCAATTATTCACACATAAACACACAGAAAAAGAAAAGAAAAAAGCAAACACGTAATTGAGCTTTTGGCATACTCGCTGGTGATGAAGCTAATAAACTCAGAGACGCATTCCTGAACGGTCTCTTTAGCGTCCTTGGAGATCTTTCCATTAGCAGGGAGCGCCTTCTTCATGATCCGACTAATATTCGCGATAGGCAGGAATCTTTCCTGCTCCCTAACATTCGATCTAGGGCTCAGATCCCCACCACTTTCATGGCTGCCGCCGCCAGGACTCCCCGGCAGCAGTCCCTGCTTGCCAGCATCCGCCATACCTCCAAAACCCTAGAAAAAAAAAATCCAAACTCAGTGACCATGGATGAATACAGTCATAGATACGAGGATTAGTGAGTAAAAGTTGAAAGAGAAATTAGAGAGATGGAAGGGGGAATGAGTACCGGTACTCAAAAGGGGTGTATTTGTATTTGGGAGGGAGAAGAGGAGAGCGAATTGGGAGATCGGAGGGTGGAGAAATGGGAAGAGAGGAGACGATTGAGATGAGAGATTGGGAATGGGATTCAGTCTATCTACACCGTCGGTTTTATGATCGAGCTATTCAATATGATTACACCACGTGTCATTACCGATATCTCAACGGACCTTATCGTTTTAACACGATGTTCTTTTCTCATTTTCGATATAATTTTTGTTTTCTGAAAAATAAGTAAATTACTGCCACAGTTGGGGTTAATGGTTTATAAAAAATTAACTTTAAGCCCCCGCTTGCCCTCATTATTTGAAATTATAATTTTTGAAATAATATTTTTTTTAAATTGTGTGGTTAAAAAAAAAATTTGAGTTTAGGTATAATATTATTTTATTGAAAAATGTGTGGTTGATAAAGAGAGATAAAAATGAATTATAATTTTAATAGGAGCCACCACGAAAACTCACTAAATTTTATTAAAATACTCTGCATTCATCACTCGTTCAAATTTAAAATGACAAAAATAAAAATAAAAAAATTATTCAACCCAATACCCACAAGCCCTGCCCTGAATGTGGCAGGGATTACCCGTATAATCAAGTAAATGGGAGTGGGGGTCATTGTCCTGAAGCGAGTATGGGACAGTAAAAATAAAATAAATAAATAAAAAGTGAATGGGGGGTACCCTTGCCCTATCTGCCCCGTCCTGCTTTAACTGAGTATGAGGATGGGGTAACGTGACAAATTACCCGACTAGATGAGGGAAGGAAATGGCTGATAGACTCCATATCCTTCCCGTTGTCATCCCTAGTTAAGATTCCATTAACTAACTTGGACGAAATCGCCTACACAACTGTTGGAATTCACAAGCTATATAAATTACCATTTGGTTCTCACTGAGAGCATTTTAACAAAAGTGAATGACATTTCAACAACACTTTCAATAACGTTTACAAAAATGCTACTTGTACATCACAAATTGTACATAAGGGTCTACACCCTTCTCGCATGGGGTGTGAGACCCATTACATAAATTATTTTTTAATCTAAGTGGTTCATACCCTCATGTGAGGGAAGTGTACACCCCGATGTACAATGTGATGTACAAGTAGCAAGACCGTAACGTTTAATGGAGTCTCATTATGCGACCTAGAGTTCAATTATTTTTGAATAAATAACTCATCTCCTGGATCAATTTTTTTCAATAATGATTTAAATTTTAATTTTTTTATTCAGGAGACTTTATTTATTGTTTTGAAAATCTTCAATGGTTGATCTTTTATTTTTAAAATCAGTTAAATTCATATAGACTCAGATATAAGGTCGCGATGTTTAGTCAAGATTGAGAGTTGTGCACGGGATAGAGTATGAACAAGACTCTTTTTTAAGTACAAATATAAAATATAAATCTTCTTCGCTATAATAAAATATCACATTTAGAGGGGGCTCAAATAATTTTGGGAGTCTTAGGCAAGCATATTTGAGGAAGCATTTTAAAAAACAATCATAAAAGATTTTAATAGAAAAATTTATCATTGACAGAAACAATTATACCAACGGAAATAAATAATTATCATTCATTTGTACAAATTTGCAAACAATAAATACCATATGTGATTGTTGGCGTAGGTCTGTCAACAAAGACGAAAATGTTGACCAATGATGTCATCAGCCATCACCAATAGTAATTTTATTTTATTAAAAATTATATTCTTGATCTGTTCGTGGATTCAAACCAACGATTTCAAAATTAAAAACATTCACATTTATTTAATCCCCTGTTTGGATTCCATTATTTCAATTTATAATGAGTAAACAATTATACCAACGGAAATAAATAATTATCATTCATTTGTACAAATTTGCAAACAATAAATACCATATGTGATTGTTGGCGTAGGTCTGTCAACAAAGACGAAAATGTTGACCAATGATGTCATCAGCCATCTCCAATAGTACTTTTATTTTATTAAAAATTATATTCTTGATCTGTTCGTGGATTCAAACCAACGATTTCAAAATTAAAAACATTCACATTTATTTAATCCCCTGTTTGGATTCCATTATTTCAATTTATAATGAGAGATAATATTTTTTGAAGAATGTGTCATTAAAGAGTATGAAGAAAAAAAAAATAATTTATATGTAATTTTATTTTATTGAAAAATTTGTGGTTAAAAAAAAAAGAAAAAATGTATTATAAATTAACGGGGGCTTTTTGAAGAACAAAGGGGAAGATAAAGAAACGAAGGAAGATTTATGAAGTTGTTGGGCTTGAAAAGTTTTGAACAGAGTCAAATAGGCTTTTTGAACGGCCCACATAGGCCCTGTTCAAACAAGGAGTGCCACAGGCCCTTTTCATCTTGCAGGGTTCATAGTAAAAACCTGTGACAAAATTTAAGTTTGGAAGGATGTTTCAAATTTTAATAGAAAAAAAAAAAAAAAGATAACGTGTTGACATTAAAACTTGCTGAGTTGTCCAATAACAAGCATGCCATCAAGGTTATAGAGGTTCACAATTTAATTGGGCAGGAGCCTAGGAGAATTAAGAATAAATATGTTACAAAAAACTTCATATTAGGAAAATCATTTCTGAATAGTTACAAATATGTACTCAACCAACAAGCTCAGAATTTACAGTTTACTTCTACCATAAACACAATGAAATTCACAAAAACCTCTCACCATGTCAATCAAATAAATAGGAGGAAAAAAACTACAGGATCCAACAAAAGTTTTATCGAGCAGCTGGCTGCGTGATAGAATGGTCGATAGGCATATAATGCTCACTAGCACCAAGGTCGAGCGATCCCATATTCAGAGAAGAATGAACAGAGTGCCTAGAGATTTCATCTGAACTAACTTGTTTAGCAGCTGATCCTCTTTCAATTGCAATGGCATCTTGAATCTCCTTGATAACTTCACACATTGACGGCCTCATGCTACCGTGGGGTTGAACGCACATCATTGCCTTCTCGGCTATTTTCCACATAGACTGGATGTCATATTCGTGCAAAGTTGGGTCGATGATTCCCTGTATGTCACCACTCTCAATGTGCAATTTCGCCTGCCATAGTCAGTTTAACACAATACGTTAACATTATCCGTACTTGAATAGATAATAAATTTTAATGATGACGTTGAAATATTCACGATTCCACAGACCATAATCGGTCTTCTGGTTAAGTACATTACAAAATCCGAACATGAGATTTGTAGACGCTAGCATAATTCAGAACCTTTTCTGTCTCAACAATCTTACCCATTGGACTATATTACGGCAATTAACTCCAAAGTTCACATTAGAAATTGCTTCTTGACCAGATATAAGCTCGAGGAGAATGACTCCGAAGCTGTAGACATCACTTTTATCCGTCAACTGCTGGGAGATATAATACCTACATGACATGAAAAGGGGAGAAATTCACAATTGTTGGTAACAATGTGAAATCATACAATAAACTCTCAACAGTTCATGTAGGCTAGCAGCTATATTACTCATTATTAAAGAGCAATATTAGTTAAGCATCCACAAATTATGCTAGCATTGGATCTCAATCAACCAGATTCCACTGCCGGTGGCAGATTGCTCATACGGTATCATATTGAGTAATCCGATAAGATGTGACTATTTGATTGGAAGGGATTTACTGGTTTAGTATAAGAATAATTTGACGGCAAAAGCAAATAATTATGACAGTTGCTGCTACTTCTAAGCACAGCAATAACATGTAAAAATTGATTGACGAATTACGAGGAGCACATTTGCTTCCACTTGCAAAGTTTGGTTCCTATAGGTTTCCATTTTAAGGTTTCTTATTCAAACTGAAAAGACAGATTCCAAATTTAAATTTATTCTGATGTTGTAGTTGAAGCAGAGAGACTCCCAGATGGTCCATTGAAAGTTAATTTTCAAATAGATGTCACTGTGAACAAGCTGAAAATTTTGGGCTGAAATAGAGATTGGTTTGTGAATCAATAACTCACTGTTCCTCTCATTGATAAACAAGAGGCATGCTAATAATATGTTGGATCCAATGGTGTTTTGTGCAGAATTTCTAAATCTTTCATAAATTCCACTATGAGTTTGTGTGTTAAACCTAGTAATTCTTACAGTTTATTCATACAAGACAGAGATGTAGGCCGGCCAGTGTGAGGGAATTTCCGCGAACAGATGTAAAGCAAGTATGAAATATAAAAAAAATATTGACAATAAGTTGAAAACATCCAAAGACAGCATGTTTGGCTAAGCTTAGAAGTAACTTAAAATGTAACAATGTTTTTCTTAACATGTTTAGATATGTTACATTTTCATCTAAGTAAAAATAGTAGCCATTCTGAACGTGAATCTCGTCAAACTACCAAAATAAATACCTCATTCCACCTTTGTCCAATGAAAAAGTTATTGTTAACTATGACTTCACTTCCTACGAGTCCTAGGAACCAGATACTATAGGATTGGAATCAAGTGCTACTCAACCTCCCTTCCGGTTGGACACTAGTACGATTCAAGGGAATTGTCTAATTCCCGCAATGCATATACCAAAAACTAGAGTATATTGATTTTGAAACTTACTCATATACCTATAAGTAAACTTTCTAAGCTTAGCCAAACATGTATCTTCTACTGGTCCTTGAGGAACAATGCTGAAAGTCTAGGAGAAAAGAAAGACTCACTCAGGATCCAGATAACCGACAGTTCCTCGAACTATGCTTGAGACATGGGAAGCTCCATCTAGTGCAAGTTTTGAAAGACCAAAATCTGAAACCTTAGCTCTCATGTTCTTGTCAAGAAGAATATTGCTTGTTTTCAGATCCCGGTGGATGATTGATGGAACACAACCAGTATGTAGGTACTCAATTCCTGAAAAAGAAATGGAAACAACAGTCTGAACAATCCTTTTTTATAGACAAATAAGTACCAGTCTGACTAATTTTGTTGATGGGCAGGCAAAACAAATTGATACTTTCTCACCAACCTTTTGCAGCATCATCCGCAATCTCAAGGCGCTTGATCCAACTAATACCTCTTTCACGTGTCAAAGGCCCTATAGGAGCAAATTTTGAGTTAATCAGGGATTATATCTACTTGTCTTTATTTAGAAGAAATACCTTACCATATAGGTGTTCCTTTAGAGTCCCATTATGCATGAACTCGTATACGAGAATATCTTTTCCATCTTCTTGGCAATATCCAAGAAAATGTACTAGATTTCTGTGATGGATCCTTGAAAGAAGAGCCACCTAGGAAAGAAATACGCAATACACAAGAAGTATTAAGCAGTGCTATGAAATAAAAGGTTTCTACTACCTCAAAAAAAATCGACATAATTTTATATTCAGTACTATGGAGAGAAATGTACATTAACCCCTCAATAATTTATTAGGAGAAAAATGCAATGTGTACACCTCGTGGTGTACACATAGCTTTACACCTCCCTCACATGGAGGGGGGCCCACGAATATTTTATTGTGTGTGGGTCCCCCTCCATGTGAGGGGGGTGTAAAACCGTGTGTACACCATTGTGTACACGTAGCATCACTCTTATTAGGAACCCAATGATGAACTGTTAGACAAAAAAAATATCTTGGTTTTATATAAGTAACTATTTCTATGCTAAAGATCAAGTGTTTTACAACACTTCACTTATTATACTATCAAGTCTGTTGTATTGCTGTTGAATTAAATATTTAAAAACAAAAGGCAAATCTATATTTAGCTTGTGGCAAACGGAGTCTAGGAACCAACTGGTCTCTCTTTATACCAACTCAATGGAGCTGGACCAGCTGGTTAAAAAGTCACAACAAATCTGCTCTAATTTTGAAATTCCCAAACAGAAATGGAACTGATTGATGTGAGTCGGAATCCAGAAAATGAAATCTGTTAAACTGATAAAAAAAGTTCTTATGAAGCAGGAGTTTAAAACAATGCAGTTTTGACTTTCATGATAATCAGGATTTCCTATGAAAAAATGTTTGAATTGATTAGAACTAATAGCCAAGATATTCAGATAACCAAGAAATTATCTTTAGAAGAAAAATTGTTTCAAAAACAACAAATTAAGACATGGAAGAATGAGTTGAACTTCCACCAAATATGAGCTAAGGTACTCAAGATAATGATGAAGTACCTCGTTCGAAAATTCTCGCTTTCCCTGGAAGGAATCATTAGTCAAAACTTTGACTGCAATTTCCTTTCCATGTTTCAATTTCCCATAATATACGACTCCAAAGCCTCCCGAGCCAACTTTTCTCTCAAAGTTATTTGTAGCCTCTTCAAGCTCAGATAATGTGAAGCAATGTGCAGCTTCTGTCCCGGCACCATCGAAGGAAGAGAGGAGCTGTTTATCTAAGAAATATAGAAAAACACAAGGGTCAATCCACCTAATTTTTTTAATACATATTGCAAATTTGTTATGAAACTGTTTCTCCGACCTCGTTTAGGACGATTCTTTTTTCCCTTCCACAGTAGGATGCAAGAGGTAATAGTAACAATGAGCAGAACCGCAGCCCCTACTGATGATCCTATAATAATTTTCTTGCGGTGCCCTCCGCTGCCCCCTTTGTGGAGATTTATGTTTCCTGTATAGCTGAAACCAAATCCATGAATGAGAATTTTGGTAAAAGGAAGATGAAGGTGCATTTGAGAAAGACTGGAATAGATAGGGTACAAGAAATGTACCATAACCAGCCAATGACTTCCAAATTAATAGTTTAAGCGCATTTTTGGTATGTAGTACTAGACATGACTGGACATTATAATGAAAATGATTTGAATTTCTTTTTCTTGTGTAATACTATTCAATTAAAATCCAATCCTCCCCAAACATGCCATAAATGTGAATCTATGTCAAAATAATTGAAGTGAAGTAATCACAGTTATACATGGAGTCATCAGGTCAATCTCTTTCTAGTTCATTTCATCTCTTGATAAATTAATAATGGCACATATACAGGCTTTTATACCACAAATGTTCAAAACAGAGATAGTGTTGCCAAAATTAAGGGAAACACAAAAGCAATACAGCTCAGCATGATAGTACAACATCCAATCCACGGTGCATCTGTCCTCAAGGAAAGAAGCACAGGAGATACAAAATGTGAAAATGAACTTCTACGAGCTGAAATAGTACGAGTTTATGGCAAATCATTTATTCATCTATGAAAGCACCTTAAGAAAACTTGATACTCATATAACCAAAGGTTTCCCGAACTTTGTTCTAGCAGGAGTAGCAATATGTTTATGCCTAAAATTCAGCAAACAAAGACAACTTAAATAAGCTTCTTTGTTTTAATTACCCAAGAAAATCACTTCATTAGAACCAGAGGAAAATAGGTGTGATTAACTGTATTCCTGTTCATAGAATCTCTCAATGATTGTGCATTAGATAGGGAGTAGATTATAGACTATTCATGGGGATTGTATGGCCATAGATTAGACATATTCTAGGGATTGTCAACTGTAGATTAGACTGTTCATTTCTTTCCTTTTATAATTGTACAACATAAGCCCTGTAAATATTCACAAACTAATGAAGTCAGAAATTATTTCTCCTCTTTTCTTTCTTCCTTCAAAATCAGTAACATATCCTCTCCCCATACGACTAAATTTGCAACCACTGTGGTTAATATATGACCTCCAGCAAACCCTTGGTTTTTATCCTTTGCGTGATTAAGTTATGATTCTACACAGTGGATGTCAAACATGATTCCTTCTTTTGCGAAAAACAGTGCAAAAGGAAGCAAATTATACAATAATTTCAATGGCTTGAGAAAATATAGCATATGATGCAACCATGTAATCAGCTCCACACAACTATTAACGATAAAAATCGTCTCATGCTCCTAACTTAATAGTGATGGATACTCACTTTAAAATCAGATCCTTATCAAGAAGTCCAGATGGCACTCTTCCAGACAACACATTGTTCTGAACATACCTGCACCGACAGTCAATTAAAGAGAGAATAAAATATTTAAGTTAGAAGCTAAATGTGTGAATGCCGATCGAACACAGTAGACAAGGCAACGAAACAACATGTCTCTATTTTGCATCAATGATGATAGTAGGTGAAGCAAGCAGCTTATGTGAGAAGAAGTATCATTTGCTTGAAAATACTTATTACGAGAAGAGATAAACACTTTTTGAAAAAGATGCCTTTCCTCATCTATAATGAGTATTTTGACAGACATGAATGGTCTAAAATGTCAAGGAACCTTGCAGGATGTTCAGTAAAGTGTAAATAATGGAAGAAAATGTGGCTCTGGAAACTTACAATTCTTTCAAATTTGGTAAATTTGCCAAGGAGGAAGGCAGCTCGCCAGTCAGTTGATTATTTTCAAGATGTCTATGACAGGAAAACGCATTTATTATTCAAAAAAGATCTAAAAAACACTGAATGGGAAATGAGATTTCAATAATTACATTTTTTTCAAGTTTGAGCATCCAGAAAAATCAGGAATCGAACCAGATAGTGAATTCTCATCAAGCCATCTGCAATGACAAGACATATACATGTTGATAATCTATAAGTCACATCATTTCATAAACAGATAAGAAAAAGACCTCTGGAACCAATAACCAATGGTGGAGATCGAAACTTACAACTCTACTAAACTGTTCAACTTTGTCAAAGCCAAAGGAATTCCCCCAGTCAAATTCTTCCCTGATAATTTACTGACAGAGCAGAAAACAAGCCACCAAGAAAATCAACAAGTTAATCACACATTCTAGTTATAGTACCGAAAGCAGCAATACATGTGTACATAACATTATTTTTATACTCAACAACCATCGTAGAACAAAAATGTACAAGGTTAAGAGAAAAATAAAGAAGAGCTTTACATTGTTACTATACTTGGTTGGGGATCAGAATTACATTGAACCCAAGACCATGGAACTGGAAGGCATGGGTCGCCACCTTCTTTTGCCCACTCTGCCCATGAATAAGCAGAGGTTACAGCCGCAATAACTGGTCCTGAAAATCAAGCGAACTTGTATCAGGGGTCCCTGCAGCATCAAAGCTCATTGCAGAAAGATGAAAAGAACCGATTCAATATATTGAGATAGCATGTTTGGCAGGGAGGACTAGATAACAATGGACAATACTAAGAAAGAAAAAGAAGATAAACTCTAGTTTATTGTATTGTCGAGTTTCATCCAATACTGCGTACCAAACAAACACAAACTGATGGTATAACAGCAGCAACCATCATTAATATTCAAGATATTGGCAGTCGGAGGACATACTAAAATTAGCATACGTCCTAAAGGAATCACAGTTTGTTCTCACCATCTACAGAGCCATCACTCCTTTTCAGATACTTGTTTATTTCCATTGCATTCAAGAGAGGGCCCATAGTAGAATCGGATGTCTTCCCAAATCTAAATGACAGCACAAATGGGAGAGATATGTTGTAATATCCTGGCTCGTAAAGACGATAATTTCCTTGGGCATTCTCTTGGATATTTACGATTGCCTTGCTGAGATCAGGGTTGCCAGGCAGTACAAATCGGAATTTTCTAGTATCACTTAAACTCAAATCTTCAATTTCCGCGAAATAGGAGAATGCCCAACCAAAACCTGGAAAACCATCTAGGTTCAATCGGTATGTCAAGGATCCATTTCTTCCAACTACAGCTGTCTGCATCACCTTCTGAGGTGGTCTTTCGTTACTGCTAACATCAATTGGCTTGTCGGTAGATATCTTTTCAGTTCCAGGAGCAACATCAACAAGGTAGTTGGCTTTCTTCACAGAGTCAGACTCCCATATTCTATCAAATGGGTCATCTGGATACCTGTGAGGAGAAAATGTTGCTCCAATCAAGGACCAGTATTCAAGAGGGAGTTGCATAAATGTGATAGGACACAATCACTAAGGAATACATAAAATACTTCGGACCATATTTTACTTTTACTTTCCATCAATAAAATTTAAGGCATACCTGACAGGAGCGTTACTTTCTGCACCAAAGTTTATTCTTGCTGACACACTAAGGAAGAACTCGTTCTCAAATTGGTTCATATAGACAGAACCATTAAATTGCCGGAGCTCGAGGGTAGATATAAAAGGCTGTCCAGTTGTAGCATTGGACAAACAAATGCTGATGGTGGGATCACTAGCCAGAAATATTAACTCTTGAGACTCTATCGTATTGGCATCAGAAATGACAATTGTAGCCCAATGAGTTGGCCCAAAGGAAATGTCAAACTTTGGATATACTTCATTGTTATCGAAGTCCCCATACAAGAAAGTCGCTCTTACAAGGTACCTGGTCCTGCTAATGACACCAAGTGTGTAGCAATACTTATTGTTATCTGCCGGGAAATATCTCACCGTTGTATATTGTGTTCTCGTCTCATTTGCCACAGATATGTTAGCTGTTTCTCCTCTGATCATCTGATAATCTGAGGTCCATTGAAGACCTAGCTCATCAGTAAAGTTATTATTACCTCCACAGTCCAGACTTAAAAAACCTGCATCATATGGTCAGATTATCAGCAGCGTACAATTACAAAATTAATACTTACACCTCAAGTCAGGCACATTGAATAGTTCATAATTTATCAAGGTCGAGAGGATTAGAAAGGAGTATTGACAGTATTGTAAGTTGATGATGCTTACTAAAACTTTCTACTACGAGATGACCAAAGTCACCAAAACAGGATCAAAATCCATCTAAACCAGCCAATAATGTTTATCTTAGAAATTAATGTTTCTGAAAACCTTAAAAAAAGTAAATCTTTTCAAATAACTCCATCAGCAACGATAACAAAGATTTCATATATAACTAGAACTAAAAAGATATCTAAAAATAATCAAAAATCTTATTCACAAATAAGTCAAACGATATTATGAAGCAAAATAACCCAATAAGGGCAAAAAATAAACACTTATAACTGTAAACAGTGCAAAAAAATCACATAACCAAAAACGAACACAAATAACAATAAATATTGTAAAAAAAAAAAAAAAACGTCGAGAGAGCGAGCGATAAACCTGGCATCTGGGCTGTGGAGACATTGACAAGAAGAAGCAGAGACAGAGAGAGAAGGAGAAAGAGAACCCTAAGAGTACCCATTTCTTCTTTCTTGCGAAACGATGAAAAGGCAAACTAAGAAGATGAATGCATAAAAACGGCGAAAAGGAGTGTACAGATTGAAAGTAGTGGCCGTATATTATACTAGTATTTGGACCAAATATGCATATAATGGAAAATAAAGTATAGAAAGTGCTCAGTGATTCAAAAGAGGAAGTTGAAACTTGACAGTATCATAATGCGAATCATCGTGGAAACAAAATTTCATTCTTATTTCTTGGTTAATTATTGATATGGATAATTTTAGTGAGAGAAGAGAGAATGTTGGAGTGAGTGTAATTGTGGAGAGAGAAAGCATGAAGTTTGCTTTTTTTGGACTTAAAGTGGTCAGAGTCTGGCATTAATTCCATCTTTTTACTGTTATC